GGAAAGTTTTTTAATGAAGTTATATTTTATAATCATATATCAAAAGTATTCTAATTAATCCAAATATTTCTCGTAGAAAATTCGAGCGGAATGCCACAAAGTTGTTGACGCTTGATTACTAGGGCTCGCGAGAATATTGGTTGCCTACTATGCAGCGCAACTAGTTTTACCAATTTATGAGTTACGATATTTTAAAATAAACGAGGAAAGAGGACGGAGATTAAACGCATATTTCATGAGCGTAGAATACTTACACCGATAGTGCAGAGGATTACGTGTATATTTGGTACAGAATATTCCTTCGCTGCGTGATACACAAGGAACAACGTCACCAATGAAATCAATATATGGTTAATCGTGTCGATTGCAGAGACAAATACACGTTGAGCAGTGCAATCCGGCTCTCGATTCTCGGAACTTATGATACTTTCAGTAGAACCGTTACGCGGAAACTTCGGTTTAGATCCTGTCGATTGGAGTTGGAATCCGTCATTGTTTTTGTCCGCCATTGTTCTGTAATATACACGATTTGTTTTCATGATCGATAATCAATTAAAGAATTTAAGGAAGTTAAACCATCTAGAATTTAATTTCTGATTTGTCACATCCTAATACGATATAATGATAATAACGTGAATTAAACAGATTATTAATACAAAATTACACGATCATTTTATTATTAAATAATATATATATAAAATAATAAATAATATATAAATAAAATAAATATATATAACTTTATAATATATAAATCAATAAAAAATATAAATTAAAATAATTAAAAATATATACAAATTTAAAGGAATAAAGGACTTCGTTATTAGTCGTGGCGTGTGTGGCGCAAAGCAACGTGCGCTGGACTGGTAAGCCACAGATGCCGAGTTCAAATCCTGCCTAGGATGTATCGGTTTTCTAAGGTACGGTCGCCCACTTCTTAGGAACAAGTGGCGATTTGAGGCTTTCTAGGGGAGAGAGCAGCAGCGGGCAGTATCCTCGTTTAATGAGGACGTGATTGGCATCTTTACTTATTGTATTATAATGTTGCTTGTATAGAAATTTGTCAATCGGTGTGTCGGATTCTAGATATTGTCTATTTACTCTTGCCACACATTTATCTAGCTCGTCTAGACTCAAGCTCGGGAGTTTTCCCCGTGACGGTTCATTTTTGAGATAATTTCCAGATAATAAAAATTTAACAAAATTACATTTGCCATACCAATTATTTTTTTATTAATTTGTTAATTTACGCGTGTAAAAGCTAAAGTACAGGCATCTCTCTTTCTTGGGATCATATACGCGAACGTGTGTGCATGTGTATATGTGTGCATATGCGTATGTGTGAGTGCATGCGTAAGATTTTTCAAAATCTTATTTTGATGGTTCGAATCACTTAGAGATTGTACGATGATGGTATTTTGTTAGTTAATCTTATAAACATTTCATACATACAAAGAATAGATATATATATATATGTCTGTGTACATATTATGTGCTAAATATAAATTTTGCTATGCCATACGCGTTAGATAAAGTTTTGACGAAAATCTTTTTTAATTAGAAGTACTGAATAAATATGTATAATATAAGAGCTCTGATAATCAACAGTAAAATTGATAGAACAGAAAGGCAATAAGAGCCGACGCAGTATGTCAATGACTTGTTTGAAATAATTGTTAGATTTATTTTGTTATTTATTCGCTACTCACATCCGGCTCTTATCGCCTATCTGTTTTATCGATTTTAATTAGAAGCTTATCTTATGCGGCTTATAAGTAAGACACTATTGTGCTAACGGATATTGCAAAGTATTGCTCAATAAAAATGAAATGATAACATTTGCACCGATTGATAGATAAATTAGCTGAACTGACAAGATACTTTGTTCGAGATATTACCATTAAGGGAAATATGACACATTGCATCGATATGAGTCAACCTTGCGCTATTATAACGCGGCAATACACTGTACAAAAAGTTATGTACTCTTACAACATTATTTTTACCCTTTGTTGTGTAAATACTTGTTTATACTTGATAAAAAATTACAAAAAATTATAAAATTTACACAATTAAGAGCAAGCAGTTTACTTATTACATACGGTAATATTTTTACTTACAAGATGTAAATTTACTGATGTGTGTAAATATACACTTTTAATAGATGGTCCCAATATTACCCACTATAATAATTGTAATTTTAAATGTATTGTAATTTTACATTTTTTCACAGTGTATTTGAAGTAAGTCACAAAATTTATATCAAATATGTTACACGTATATTATTTTTATATCTTTACATATTTCAATTTTTAGTATTAGATATAAGCAGGGAGCACACACTTTTGCATAAGTGCATAAGCATATGCATAAGGAATTTAATTTCCATTTCCTTATGCATTTGCTTATGGACCAATCAATTTCTTTATGCATATGTTTATGTACTTATGCAAAAGTATGTGCTCCCGTCCATAATCTTCAGAGATTATTTTGTGTATCCGTGAGCTATGAATAAACAAACTGATCTGTAGTTTTTGTTTCGTCTTTAGTCTATGTTTCTTTAGAACTGTAATTAATATTATTGATGAGGCCTCTTCATTTTCTAATTGATTTTATATCTTAAGGACCTAAGTTAAAATTGTAGTAATATTATTGAATTAATATTTTTTAAATATTATCTTCTGGCTGAGGTAATACTTTTCGCGATAAATTATTTATAGATTGTTTTTAAATGGTGCTTAATTAGCATCATTATTAAATTGATTGTCAATTTAATTAGGTATACTAAGTTTTAGCTTAATACTATGTTTCAAGACCGATAAAGTTATCGGCGAGCAGTTGCTATGAGAAAAACTATGTACACAACTATTAGACACTATGGTCGAGGATGTTCGTCACTTTTTATTATGTGATATTTATTTAATATAATATTTGTTATGATATTTATTATGGTATTTATTTAATGTAATATTTCATATATGATTTTGGTGTGCTATTTATTTAATATCGGCGGGTCGAGTTCACGTCTTAACATTTTTTAATTATGTTTAAAGAACTAAGTACGAAATACGTATTAAATACATTTATATTTTAACAATACAAATATTGTTATTGAAATTGCGGTACAATAGTATTTAATAAGTATTTACTTTTGGTATTTAATATACAGTATAAATATTTAATGTACTGTATAAATATTCGTATATATATATGTATTTGTTAAATGCATATAAATGTTAATTAAACTTTAATAATACAAATAATGATTGATATTACCTTTAACATGTCTCAATGCAAAATGATCGATTTGTACTAATGCATTCGGTTCAAGATGAATGTGTATGCTATGTTTCAATGACTTTAACACCATTTAGTAATTCGTGAAAATTATCTAAATAGATTTTATCTGCGATTGTATCTCAACTTTTATTAAATGCTTTTACGCGGAATTTATCAATCGTCAGAATGTAGAAAATTCGTCATCCGTAATGTTAGACGAAAATATCTCCGGAAATTCCCATACAAGCTTCTACTGATGCGCAAAATCTGTTTACGGATGATAATCCTTGTAAATGATAAGAGGGATTACAGAACTGGGTTTTCCCCTAGCCGATTATATATACAAGCTTTAGCGCTATTCCAAGAAAACGGGTTAGCTCTATAGGTAACCTTTAAAATTGAATGGTCGCCGGAAAAAGAATAAAAATCAATCTATGTGTACTGAAAGCAGAAAATAGGCAGTTTGTCCGAACGAGGTTACGAGGTCACATCTATCGTTTCTTCGATCCATTTGTTCCAAAGTTATTTAATTATTAAAATGTTTTTTTCCAGTCCGGATTAAAATATTAGATATTAACTTCATTATACATACAGGTTAATTCCTAAGTAAGTATAAAAAATATAGGAGGATATTCCTTGGCTTGTTTTATGAATAAAGTGTCCTATGGACGTATGTAAGTGCTTCGTTTTCAAAATACAGGATGTCAAATTTGAGAAACAAAATTTAAAAATTTAAAAATTTAAGGGAAAGAGCTATTTTATTAAAATTTGGCGTGCCGTACATGTTGATATAAAACATCTCTCAGCGTTTTCTTAGATTTTTCAAATTTCCTTTTTTTCCCTCAAAATTGATGCTCTATATTTTGAAAATAAAACACTTTTGGACATACATTTATAGAACTTTTATATATAAAAAATAAACCGAAGAATAACCTCTTACATTTTTACACTTACTTAGAAATTACCCTGTTCCCACACACACACACACACACACACACACACACACACACACACACACACACACACAATTTGCTTCCTATCGTAATCGTAATCTTTCAACGAAATTGAATTTGTTTAATAAAATATATCGGTTCCTCTGTTCACTGAGAGATGGGTCAATGCCAAAACTGTAACATGACCACGCGGTTTATTTTGTCCGTGAGATAAGTCCATTTTCGTATATCTACTTTTTATATTTTATTTCCGTCTCCCGAAACTGCCTACGATGAAATCGCGAGCGTATTCGTTCGTAAACCATTATTCCTTGAGAATGTTTCGACGTTCTTGAACATAAATCACTTTGAAATATCGACGGAGGAAAAACATAGGTATTTCGTAATGTTTTGTAGAATTTGTACAGTCGTAAATTGTAAGTACTAACGGTATCTTTTCTCATGAAAATACACTAAATAAACCTACAAAGAGTCATATAGTTTATATAAAAAAAATAAGTTTCTGTAACAATTGTTTCTACCAATATTGTGGCATATTAGTCCAGATTAGTCAAAGCATATGCCAAAATTTTTACATTTTTATCTGATTTTACTGGAAATTCAAACTTTTTTATTTGATTGAAACTCGCTGTACTTTATCACAATATTTATTACGAATCAGTATGTTATTGCTATTCTATGCGCAATTATATGCAAATCCAACACTCAATTAACAAAAGGACAGCTCCCAACTCCAAAGAAGATAAGAGAAGAAAAGGTGATATCACTTACGTAAGTTAACGCCGCAACGCATACGCAAATAGTACTTTCGTAACTGACTATCTCGAACGACAGACCGGCAATTGTTTACGAAGGAAACTGCACCGCGCAAACTTTTTCCTCGTAATATATGCCAGCGACCGCTCGACGCGCGCGATTAATGTGGATGGTGCGCGGGGGATCAGTCGTGAGCGAAGTCCTATGAGCTGAGATCGATGTCGGAGGCGACTGTCGTAAGATTGAGTTTGCGTTAGTCGAGGGAATCTTAAGTAAGCGGAAAAGAATACTGGATGTCCCCAGCGAGATTTTTGTCTGAGAGCGCGCTCCGCTGCCTGATAAGCGCGCGATGGTTGCCGCACTTACGTGACTCACGTTGCATTAATAAGACGAATGCAGCACGTATTCGATATTATCAGATGCCTTCTGAGACGTGCTAACGGTACTAACTTTTATCGCGATCACGTAGGTTCTATGAGTGGTTACCGGCTAAAGATGCAAATGAAACGGAGATAGATTAAACCAACACCACCGTGGTTATAATCAACCGCGCGACTAACTCAAAAGCATTCAAAAGCTCGCCAGATACATTTGTGCCCGTTGCAAATCCTGCAGCGCTCTCCTGCATTAACTGGCGTCGTCGGAATTACATGAATTTTCATATGTCTGAATATATAAGGATTACATCTATGGAGTCCATTGAATTACACTCCGTAAGGCAAAACGCGGTAGATAATATGTTAAAAGGAAATAATACATTTTTATATTAAATATGTAAGCTAAAATACAGGGCACGGCATTTAAATTGAAACGTCTGAGGCTGGTATTACATTTGTCGCACGACAAATTTTTTAAGCGCGTTGATTGGCTACAAGCTAGAAAAGAGAAAGGAAAAACAGAGGAAGAAGAATCAGAATTTATAAAACGGAAAGTAGAACCGGAATTTATAGAACGAAATGCGTAAGCGTTGATAACATCTTATACGCTGCAAATCATGAAAAGCTGATAATACCGTTTAAGTGGAAAGGCGCGTGTGAACGAAATAACAGAATCGATGTACCATAGATGTACCTGCTAATTCTCACGTAGCGATAATGTTTTGCGATATCGATCTTGTAATCGTTTGCACGAGCACTTTTATCGCATTAAGTATATTAATAAAGATGTTGAGGGATAACGGTATCTTTCATTATTATACGTCATTTGGTGACCTAATGCAGATTCAAGTATAAGGAATTATGGGTTCTAACACATGTTTTGGATTACATGTTTAACCTTAGATATATTCTGTTAAGAATTAATGGATGTACTTGAAAATTGTTTATATCGAATTTCTAAGTAATTTAGCACTTGCTCGCGTTGCGTATTAACTTCTACTCATGATAACAGTTTGTTAGTTTAGTTGTTTTAACCTTTTCAAGCACGGTGTAACATATATGTTATACCTCCAGAAATTAAAAATCAACACTTCTTTCACTCCAATGTCTTTACTACTTCATATCTAGAAGGTTTTTGGTTCGCTAATTCTGGATTTAAAGTCTAAATTCTAAAATTATCGACAATTGACTCAATGTAGCAGCTCAAAGTTCAAGTTTTAATTAAAAAATTTGTTTTCTGTAAGATATGTTGTATTTAAAAAATTATTCCTGTAAACGATACTCCGAAACTAGGTATTTGGGACTTTTTGAGATCACTGATTTCTAATCTGAAGTCAAAATTTGAAAGTTCGAAAATCCAATCTGGCGAATCCAATATAAAGAGTCAAAATTGCAAAAAATACAATGAATTTATCTGGAACTCGGTACTCGAAAGTTTTTCAGTTTGCTGATTACACATACATAAGGCCAGATTTACAAAATTCATAATCTACATTTAAATTTTGTAATTCCAACGCCAGAATCGTAATCAGTGACTTCAAAAAATCCTTCAGTATTAAGTTCCAGAAAAATTCTTGAAAAGGGAAATGTGTACTTCAAAGAGTTTAAATATATATTCTTGTTTTACTGTGTAGTAAACTTTAAACGTAACTAATTCTTTATCTAGTAGTATGATGTAATAAATGTATACAATAAATGTAATAAGAAAAACTTTTCAGAATAAATCAATTGCTACTTAAGATTTGATAAGATTTATTTAACATGGTGACCCTATTTTGTAAAGAAGAATAATGTAAATAGTGCGAACATGTTAATTACGTGTGTGTACGCAAAATAAATAATGGCTTTATTATTTCAAATTTATATACTATTAATTAATTATATACGCAAAGTATTTCATTATATCAATCTTAAACAACCTACTCTGTGTTGAATATAACTCGGAGTAAAAATTGTATTACATTTCTGCAATACATTAACTAATTTGTGTACAGCAATTTTTTAATTTTCAATTTTTGATTGTAATTTATCTTGCCGTATTAATTTGTTTTAATGTTACATTCGTAATTATACTACCATTGTAAAAGACTCCCCATATATTTCACGAGTATAATACAATATTATGAGCACATACAAATAAATAGATACGCAAACACATACACGCGTATATAATAAAACAATTATATCTTGATTATGGTCAACTAATGCAGTATGCATCATTTATTTGCTTATTTGCAACACATTAAACATCACAACATCACTAATCTTTATTACTGCAAACCAGTCGACACATTAATGCCGTATTTGTAGTCATTATCTATTATAGTTTGAGTTTTACTGCGCAATCTACTTAATTGTAATAATTATTGTACGTGTGCGAACTCTTGCAGAATAAAACTGATAAAATTATAAGTTAATAAGCTTTTGTTCAATTTGGAAGTAGTCTTTATCTCAACAAAAATGTTCAGATACAAATAACTTTTACATACAATTAGTAATAAAAGATGAAGCGTTCTGCCTTTTTGTAAATAAAAATGCAGACAAGTGATAATACTTTATACTGCATATAATTTCGAACAGAAATTGCTTTAACGGAATTTTTAATTCCACATAAAGTTAGTTGTCTAAATATTTCATATTAACAATCTCAGTGTATTGCAGTAACAAATAAATATTTCAATACTTTTTACAAGAATATTTTTTCAATTTATTTAAAATCTGTATATAATTCCTTATACTCATATTACTGCAAATCATTTCATATAACCGCATAGTGTCTTCCGATAACAGCTATGTTTTATTTATATTATATAGTTTTTATTTAAGTAAATATTCTTGTAAGATAAGTTATTTAACGAAAGAACTTCATAAGACTTTTTACCTTACTGAAATCATCTTCGTAGTTTTAAAAGTTTGTACATTTTATTCCGTTTTGTCCCTCACCGAGTGATTCATTTAATATCTGTAATATTAGTTACAGAGCTTTCTTTTTAATTACAGTCTTCCATTACATTCTCGCTTTTAATTACCGTACAGAAATATGATTGGCATAGTACTTTCGAAAGATATCCAGACAGAAAAGGCAAATTTTATATTCTGCTTTTAACAACTTTGTAAGATATTAATTACTATATTAAAATGTAAAATAGAAAGTAACAAGGTACGTCGTTATATATACTATATTGTCTTCGTAATATGCACTGGATTAGCATTTTTGCTACTCTGTTACTATAAATCTAATTTTATCTGTCGCCAGTTTCCGGAGACAGCTACATTTGAGCGAATATGTTATTTTTATATAGTTCCCTTTATTTTATAATATATATCCAGATAAACAGACATAAAGTACCAAGAAGCAAAAACAATGCAAGAGACAACTTTGTTGATAAATTTAAAATATAAACAACTAAAAAGTTAAAACATGACTAATTTGTGGACCCATGTTTATTAAGACTTTTCAACTCATTTTTGGAGATACTAAATTTCTTTAACATTTTTTATTTAACACCCTGTATAACGCATATCAATATTTTATAATGTTGTCATAAAGTAATATATGACATTATATTATGAGTTAACCATTTCTAAATTTTGACAATCATGCAAATTTACATATTAATTTGTCGTTCATTAATAATTTTAACTTGTTTGTAAAAATGTAAAAATATATGTATGTATAATTCATATACATGCATATGAAAATCAAGTTTGCACGATTATTTTACCTTTACTAATTTATTATTGTCTCAATGTTTCGTACATACATATAGAGGACAGTCCTAAATTACGAGATAGGATTCTAATACGAGATAACAAGTTTTCAACGTCCAAATTCAATCACAAATCTTTTTTCGCAACGATTAGACGATCTAACAATCAATTTCCCACTAAACAGATTTTACTCCAAGGGCAATACATTCATAGTGAAATTAACAGATGATGCATATTATTTAGCAGAACTCAGCTATCTCATATTATAAGTCTATCTCATAATAGGGGACTTTTCTTTATTTAAAATTAAATATAATATTCAATTATAATTTAAAACTGTAATTTAATTATTATCAGATTCCGTTATTTAATATGTAACCCAGTGAACACCAAGTGACAGTTGCATAACATCAATACTATAATTTTCTACTCAATAATGTAAATCTAATATATTGTAACACGCATGTTATATTATAATACATTTACATTGGTAAGTAGGAAATGATAGTATTAATATTATGTAATTATTACTTGTGGTGTTTTCTGGGAAGTAAAAATCTCCAAAAATGTAGTCCATGAATGATATTATTCGTCGAGAATATATATTTTTATTTAAAAAAACATTTGTATGTACAATAATAAATATAATATGAATGTATAATTGCGTGAATGTATTACGTGAAAAGTTAATTATTCAGATATTTTAAATTGTAATTAATGCTATACATGTAATTCTAAAATTTATATTCGTAGTCGGTACCAACACCGATGTTTTTTAATTATATTTACGGACTTTCGAAAATCCACTTTATTGGCAGTCACAATGATTGATTAATTGATTTTATTGCAATATTGAAATTTTATTCATTTATTTATTGTTATATTTTCTGCTAATTTTAAATTAAATTTTTTAATTTTTGAATTAAATAATCATAATTTTATTATTTTGAAAACTTTTTATAATACAATTGCTATGTAAACACAAATGAAAATGTTTATGATATATTAATGATAATAAGTAAATCTAACAATTAACTTTTAAATCTCTTAGAAAATTATGTACAATATTTACTGCATATGTATGTATGTATGCACAATCTCGAAATATAAACTATAATCAACTGCAGTCCCAAAAGTTTCGTTCAAGAATTCTACATTACCGAATGTCAATCTATATTTGAAGTTTTTGATATAATAACAATATATCATTGTAACATACTGAAGACTATCGATCAATCAAGTTTTCATGACTATAAAACATAAATAATAAAACGACTTCGAAAGCTCAATAACTGAATCGTATCAGTAATATCGACTGCAAATGTATTAATAATATCGACTGTTAATATAAATTTTTTAGTATTATTTATATTTGTAAAAATACCTGCCAA